AACAAGAAGGGTGAGATAACACATCCGCCGAGAAACGCCAGAGAAAGGGCATCAGTCATCGACCTAACCTTCATAAACGGCCAAGCAGTGCGTGTGGGCACAGTACAAGAGTGGGCCATAGACCCAAACATTGCTCACGACGCCGATCATCTAGGAGTCAAGTTCACCATTGCACATGGCATAACCGAAATCGACAACCCACTAGACATCAAGTACTGCTTGAAAGAGGTGAAGCCAGCAGACTGGATCAAGGAATTGGAATCGGCCATTGAAAAGTCACACGAACTGCTACAGCCCCTCCTGACGGCAGAACGGCTCCAGACAGCCACCTTAGATGAATGTGCAGACACACTAACAGAAGCCATGCAAGCAGCAACAGCGGCCACGGCGAAGATCCGCAAACCATGCACAAATGCAAAACCATGGTGGGATCAAGACTTGGCAGATGCAGCCAAACGTGTAAGCGAAGCGCGCAACGAACAGAAACTCCACCACGACACAGTCAACACCTTCAACGGCGACATAAGGACCCGGATTAGGAAGGCCCGAAACTACTTCAAAAGACTATGCAGGATAAAGAAACGCGAGTGGGTAAACGAGAAACTTCAGCAGGCAACAACGGACGACATCTGGGGCTTTCAAAACTGGTCCAAGGGAACACGCAACTACCCTTCCCCCCCAATATCAAGGGGTGTGGGAGTACCGAAGGCAGTATCCCACCAAGAAAAGTGCGATGCGCTGAGGTCGGAGCTCTACCAGGCGCCACCTCACCTTGAGGCGGAATACAACCCAGACCTACATCACCCACAAGAGGACGACCTACCATTTGAAAAGATAACCTATGACGAAGTCAATGAAGCAATCAACGGTACCAGCGCCTCTTCGGCGCCGGGTTACTCTCAAACAAACTACCTGACAGTCAAATGGGCCTGGAGAAGCGAAACCGGTAGACAATACATATTGCCACTCATGCAGAAGTGCCTCGAGGCAGGATACCATCCCAAAGCATGGAGAAGGGCCATAGCGGTCGCCCTCAGGAAACCAGGCAAGCCTGACTACTCCAATCCCAGAGCATACCGCCTCATAACCTTGCTTGAGTGCCTCGGCAAGATATTGGAGAAAATCGTGGCTAGAAGACTAACATTCCTAGCAGGGAAGCACGACTTAGTGCCAGCCAACCAGTTTGGGGGCCGCTCCAACAGTTCTACCACTGACGCCCTACTCACATTTACCAACGACGTCCAGTGTGCATGGAACCACAAGCTGGTCACATCGGCTCTCACATTCGACATCAAGGGATACTTCGACTTCGTCAACCACAACCGACTACTGGTCGAACTACGCCGCAAGCGCATTCCACTTAGTGTTGCCGCGGCTCGGCTAGCCGCAAGCCGGCTCGCTGAACCGGCAGCTTTTGCCGGTTCCGGTTTGTGGATCACTCGAAAGCTGATCAAGTCCGGTTCGGCTCGGCTTAGTCGGTGGCTTTGAACCGGTTATAGCCGGTAAATGATTGCCGCAATTGATGACTCGCGCGTTAAGTAGAATGAGGTTAAATTTGTAATAGAATTTGAGACAAATGCATTTTGTGATAAGTAAAATATATTGAACAAGCTATCAATCCTCGTCATCCTGTCCAATAACGTGAATTACCTCATCAATATCTATACCATCCTCCGTAATTTCTGAAGTTAGCTTCCCTAACAAATCCACTGAATCTTCGTTGTAATCTGCGTAGTACTCGAGTTCGTCTTCTGTGACAGCCCATCCCTCCGTAAAGTTTAGTCGTTGCTGCTTGAGCGAAAACTTTAACATTTGAAGCGCCTCCATTAGAACAGGGTGGATTCGATTTCGCCGCTTTGTATCAGTTTCGGCACTGGATGAAAAAACGCGCTCGGAAGGAACCGAGGATGCTTGAATGGGCAAATAATCTAATGCCATCGCATACAATGTTGGATGAGTTTTATCACTTATCTACAAAAAAATCAGTGGGGCAAATTAGAAAATAGTGAGAGACTATACTTACCGCCCAAAACCCTACAATATCTGTGCCACGCGGTGAGAGCGGCCCATTTTCGTACAACTCAAATTGTTCTTCAACGCCTTGGACCTGCTGCGAAGAAGCACCTGTAACGTCCATCATATCTTCGAGCCCGTATTGTCCAGCTAAATCATGCCAGCTTCGCCTCTCTTGCTGCGAGGCTGCTGTACCAGGTGTAGGTTGTTGAACTTGTCCATGAAGACGGTCATGGTATTTTCGCATCTGGAACAAGTATATTAGGTTACTGTCACCATAACAAACTGAGACACTTACGGTATTTTTTATAATTACGGTGGCCCTGGCAACGTAATTAGGCTCCCAGTGTCGTCGAATCCATGACAATCGTATTGAGGGATTGAGAACTGATGATGTCAAGTTATTGAATGATCTATGAATTTGAACCTTAACTCACACATCGCAATAACGTAGGCAGGCGAATCATCCATTTTCTTGTAGTAAGTTGTCGCCCAGTCGATACCGATATCTGTCCATCGGGCCAAGCAGGGGTGTGCTGTCCCAAGTTGCTCCCATGCCGTCATGAACATTTCGAACGCAGGAATTGCGCCTGATAAAACAGGAGTGCGCTCTTTCGACATGATTTTCTGCACTTGATGAGGTACCTAAGAAAAAGATTTAGCCTCAAACAGGTATCAATATTAGAGATGTACACCCAGTACGATCTCAAAATCCTGGAGTACAGTCCATTCCATATCAGTAAGTCTAAGTTTCGCAAGCTCTCTATTGACGGGCAAAGAAAGAAAGTACTCGACGGCCTATTTTTATAAGTATACACTGATAGAATGATGAAGTTCAAACATACCGGGCGTAGTTTACGAAACCGATTGATCATGAAATAAAGAGAGTCCCACCGAACCTTCATATCACGTATAAGTTGTGCCTGCTTGACCTGTATAGTCATGGTCGGATCCCCGGTTGACTTGAACCACCCTTTCTTGTTTCCATCCTCTATTACTTCTGCCAGGTGGTCACGTCGTTGACCTGAGGCGCGTACTGCTCATACAGTACTTCGGCACAATGCAATTGGGTCGCGAGCAACCGCTTCTTCGTAGCTCTGATTATCGGGATCGCTTGGAGGGCCTGATGCGGATGCAACAAATCCCCCTGTATCATCTACCAGGCTGATATCAGTAAATGCATCAATGACGTGATTCGAACATATGTTGGTAACGTGTGGGAAGCATCTTATATGATTCTCCTTGTGATTAAATTCAACGTCGCGAGGGCGTAGAAGTAACTCGAGTTCTCTGAGGAAAGCATCGTTGAGCGAGCAGTTATCGAGAGTCCAATGGCCTCCCTGTGCACGTAAGCATAAAGTAGAAAAGGGAAAGAAAATGAAACTTAGACGTGCTTTGACTGTAATCCCAACTCGGTCCAAGAGATGGAGGACAATTCTTGCTAGCCTCTTCCCATTGTGGCTTCCTCGAAGACGGTGAAATGCGATGAGTGTAGAACGCAGCTGAAGACCCTTGGTAGACTTGTCTCTATGTATCCAATGTGCGGTAATGGCCAGGTATGGGTACCGAGCTTTTGTTGACCAAATATCCGCTGTGTAGGAAATTCGTCCTGGCGCATCCTAGAGTGAACAGTGAATACAAGGAAACAAAGCGGTCAATTGAAACAACATACCGCTAATTCCTGTTTTAGGACCTTGAAATACGCATGCCATGCCTTGATAATGGATTCGTGCATCTTCTTTCGGCGGGGAATGTCTTTGTCCTCGAGGTCCTCACGTAAAAGCAAGAGGAGCTGTCGAAATTCTGGGCATTCAACAACATTTATAGACTGCGAAGAAGGTTAGACTAATACCAAACATTAAAAGTGCTTGACCAACCTGATCGTCTGCAACGATGAAATTCAGAAGATGCTGTATCAATGCCTCTTGGGAAAATGGTGGATGTTGTGTTCCATGGGGCGCCGGGGCTGTTCCAGTTTCGCTCGCAAGTGCAGGGACTTTCCATCTCATTTCGCGACACTTCTGGAGATATGGATCCTTGTGGCGGCTTAGGAGGTGGTTGCGCAATGGACCATTTGAGGTGCTCGCTGAGAAGCTGCCTGCACCCTGGCGCAAGTCTATCCCATTCGCCCTACATAACAATCCTTGTCAGTACAATGTATAAAATTATCGAGGACCACATACCTGCATAGCTTACATAGAGTTCTGCTTACTGGAGGCGCCTTGGATCCGCGTTCAAAGAAAAAATCAATATCTGGGGCTGTTCGGCTCCGTGAGGGTTCTGAGGCTCGCTCAGAAGGCGTGACAGGTCTGGTGGAGGCAGCAGAGCCAGCTACAGGCTCGACACTCGCGGGAGAGATCGGTCGTTGTACATCTTCATCAGCAGAATGTTCATCCAAAGGAGTGAAGTCGAATTCTTCTCCAGAACCGGGATCGTCACGAAAGTTGACTGGCACTGCTCTACGGCCAGCTGTACGAGGAGGTGCTGGCTGCTGTGTCGTTC